CAAAGCTAAAGCTACTACAAAGTTTTTGCTGTCAAAATTGAACTTTCCAGTCTGTTGCTATGGTGCTTTATAATTGCTTAACCTATCAGAATTTACTTTTGTCAAATTGATGGGAAATGAATGTAACCAAACAGCAAAGTATGTACTAAAGATTACAGAAGAAAATGTCTGAAATTTGAAAAATGCTATCGCATCTCAGGAAGGCACAGAAAAGCAATGGAAGTCTCTCTAAAAGGCTTGAAATTGCTGTATTCTACCATTTTCTATCCTTGGTAAACCAAGTTCTATTAGAACCAAAAAGATTACTTCCCACCAACGGTATGATTCCATATTACTAATCTAAAACCTGAACACCTAGAGAGAAAACTAGCCAGCTGGCCTAACACCTGTTTCTGTGTGGGAAGTTTCTAAGATTAGAATACCATATAAATAAGTTAAGGCCTCTTGTCAAATAAAGCCATTAGATCTTGCTGTACAAAGTAAGTACATGGCAAAACACTGCTATCTGAACACGAGAACAGGGAAGAAAAAAACAATCCATGTATTTAAAAAACCAGAACCATACATTGCAGTCAAGCACTAGATACTCTCTTAGAATCTATTTATTCTGAAGGTAGGCACAAATTCAACCAAATGCTTTTCCAACACACTACAAACTACAAACTATGAGGCAGACAGTTTTAGAAGCAAGGAAGAATGAAAAGCAGCCAAATTTATTTTAAAAACCAGTCAGAGGCAAGTACAGAGGCAAATGGCCCTCCATACTGGAGCAAGATTTAAGCACATCATTGTATCATCACATGGTGTTGAGTCAAAGGATGAATATATTAAATGTTTCTTTGTCCTACTATATGCCAAGAAGGATTTAAGGACAGATTTAAGAAGGCAGGAAAATTTCTATCCAATACAATTAAAATCTGAAAGACTACATTAGCGCTTATAGGTACATAGCTATCCAAAATACCAAAATACGCTGCGGCACTAAAAATCTCATTCCTCCCATGTTTATGACAGACATGGACATGTTGCTTTTATCCAATTTGTAAGGAAATTGGAATTTTTGTTTTTATAATAGACACTACTAAATCAAGAATCCACTAGCAAGTGGATAACTGAGGAAGTTATCCGGATAATTCTAGGATTTTTTTCAGGTCTGGAATGCTGGGCCCAAAAGTGATGGTATTGCAACGCTGGCCCAGGAAATCTCTCTCAGCTCTCAAAGAGGCGCACTGAGGCCAGGTGCAGGGGCTCACACACGTAATCCCAGCACTTTGGGAGGCTGAGGCGGGCGGATCACTTGAGGTCAGGAGTTCGAGACGAGCCTGGTCTACAATGGCAAAACCAAAAAAATTAAAATATCTACCAAAAATACAAAAATTAGCAGGGGTGATGGTGCACACCTGAGATCCCAGCTACTTGGGAGGCTGAGGCAGGAGAATTGCTTGAACCTGGGAGGTGGAGGTTGCCATGAGCCAAGATCACACCGCTGCACTCCAGCCTGGGTAACAGAGTGAGACTCTGTCTCAAAACAAAAAAATTAAAAAAAAAGAGATGCACTGAGGAGGTGCCATTTTTAATCCTCAGATGAGAAAACAGGTTAAGACTAGAAACTCCTGTGGGGTCATGATGTCAGTTACTCCAGTACTGATATATACAACATTGGCAAATACCTTATGAGGTTTACAGAAATCTTAATAAGAGTCAACATCCATTTGCTTAACTAGATAAGTGCTGTTAAACTAAGAAATGTTCGTTTATTTTATACTGATGGTCAAGAAACTGCAGTGGTTAACCTTTTGTTTCCCAGAGTAGGTAGTACTCAAGAAAAGTCTCAAAATCCTTTTGAGCACATCATGCAGAAAGACTCAATTTGGTGTTTACGTGTCTTTTACCCTTACCAAACATTACTTACTAATCATATCTTTTTTTTTTTTTTTTTTTTTTTTGAGACGGAGTTTCGCTCTTGTTACCCAGGCTGGAGTGCAATGGTGTGATCTCAGATCTCAGCTTACCGCAACCTCCGCCTCCTGGGTTCAGGCAATTCTCCTGCCTCAGGCTCCTACTAATCACATCTTTTAATTAAAAAAAAGGACAGATTTTGAGCTGTCTTCACTGGCCATACTGCATAGCTAGAGTTTAATAACACTGTTTTCATTATATTTTAAGGTAGTCTTCTATTCACAGAAAGTGATGTTAACTTTCCATTTACCAAAGTGATATGCTTCCTTTTTAAAATAAATTTACATCAAAAAGTGAGTTGACTTCAAAAGTTTTAAGTACATAATACTTTTAAATATAAAATTAGAACGATGTGTAGAAACAGCAAAATCCATCAAGATCTGTCTTGTGGTGTCTGAAGCTTAGAAAGCCCTGCTTTAAAGTCTACTTACCACACACACGAATTAAAGCTGTTATTTTATAAACTACCCAATTAGTAAGTTTGAGACGAGGAGACCTCTTTCCTCAGACTAATGTTAAGACACAAATAACAGCCACACTTTTAGGTGACCATATATTAAATCACTCATTTTCCAGCTAAACAAACTACAGGCCAAAGAGGACTCGTGAGCTGTTCAAGATCACAGGTTGAGCCCACTTCTCTGGAATCTTGGTCCAGACCACTTCCCTCGCATGAAAATAGGAAACGATAAAGGAGCTGTGGTTTCTCTAATTGATGGACAGTTTAGGCAATATACATATAGTAAAGGAAGTTCCAAAATAACTTCATTTAAAATAATTTTGAACAACATAAAATGACTAAGTGCTTGATTCAGAAAGCATAGAAGAGACGTCTAGCTTATTCATATTAAGTGCTCCTTAAAAATTTACTCCTTCCATTTCAGGAGGGAGAATGAGAACAGAACCCCAGAGGAAGCCACCTAATAGGTGTATGAAAAGGACTGGGGAGATGCAATCTTTCTGGCGTACTGTAGAGATTTTGAATATTTCTGTGATTTTGTGTTTTTCTTTTTCGTGTCTGCATCCAGGCAACAAAATGAGTAGCCTGCTCCTGTGAAGTGACGACGCAAACCTGCTGCTTGGCCACAGTTCTGGCATTCCGGGGCCACCCACTTTCCTACTCTCCAGGCGACGCTGCACGCCTCTCATTCCTACAGACTTCCAACTCCCTTCCCTGTCACCTCCTCAGCTGGGAAAGTGAGAGCTATCATTTTCCCAGTAACAAATCTAGCAACCTACCTGCATATACGCCCCATTCACTCCAGAATCTAAGCTCCACAAGGTTACAGACTGTCTCGTTTGGTCACTGCTTTATCCCCAGTACTGAAAACGATGCCTTGCAAATAGGTGCACAAGTATTTGAGTCAGTGAACAAAAGTGCTGCCTTACCTGTGGACGTGGACAATGCACTGTCCCTTCTGCCTATCGAGACCAATCTCTCCTGAGTCCTGCATCCTGCTCCATCTTGCCCATTACTTCCCCAGCAACAGCATCCACTGTCCCCTTCGAATGGAAGTCCATCAGCATATCATCAATCATGCCATATTATTTCCTGAAAAGCTCAAGTCCTCCCTTAGCTCACCTCGGCCTCAGTTATGACCCATTTCTGTTCCGCTTTGCAAAGCTTGAGTTGTCTACAGTTGCCATCTCTACCTCAGTCCCCTTCTGCTCACAACCCAGCCCCCAAACTTGCAGCTTGTTAGCCACAACAATCCCCGTTGTCTAATGGTTAGTTCTCTGTGCTCATCTTCCTTGAACAGCACCTCAATGAGCTGATGACTCCCTCTGAAAACACTTTGTTTCAAAATACCAAGAGCTCTCAGGTTCCTTTGCTAGCTCCTCCCCGTTTTAGATGTTAGAGTGACACAGGGCTGACCTCTTCCAGATCTACTTGGTTGCTACTTAAGTGATGCCGCTGGGCCAGGGCACTGAGCATCTTGCTAGAAGTGCAGACCATCAGCCGGACGCGGTGGCTCACACTTGTAATCCCAGCACTTTTGAGAGGCCAAGGCAGGTGGATCCGGAGGTCAGGAGTTCGAGACCAACCTGGCCAACAGAGTGAAACCCTGACTCTACTAAAAATACAAAAATTAGCTGGCGTGGTAGCGTGGTGGCAGGCGCCTGTAATCCCAGCTGTTCAGGCGGCTGAGACAAGAGAATTGCTTGAACTGGGAGGCAGAGGTTGCAGTGAGCCGAGATCACGCCACTGCACTCCAGGCTGGGTGACAGAGCTAGACTGTCTCAAAAAAAAAAAAAAGAAAGAAAAGAAAGAAAGAAAATGCAGACCCTCAGGCCCCATACCAGATCTCCTGAAGCAGTATCTGTATTTTAACCACAGTAACACATGCTTATTAACATTTGAGAAGCTCTAATTTCCTGAGTAATTTCAGTCACGTGGCTCCAACCTGTATAGACTGATGCTCCAAAATGTTTACCTCCTATTACCCTCATGGTCATATGCAGGGCTCCATGCTGGATTCTACTAGAAATCTACTAGGCATCTCAAAGCCAAGTGTAAAACACAAATCTTGATTTTCCCGCCCCCCTCAGGCTAAAAACTCGAGTCACCCTTGTCATCTCTTTGCCTTCCAATCCCTGGGCCAAAGTTCTGTTGGCTGTCGCTGTAGTACACCGAGTCCTACCACTAGGCACTACTACTGCTGCAAACATCCTAGACTAAGCCACCAACACTCGACGCCGAGTTCTGAGTCGCTTCTCCTATATGTCCCTATTTTCACCTGTAATACTATGTACACAATATCCAGAGTGATCTTTAAATATGTCAGACCATGGCTAAAAACCCTTCAATGGCTTCCAAGAGTCCCCAGTTCCTAGCCCCTCGTACGCTGTGCTCTAACGCTCTGCTTTCATCAAATTGCCAAGCTTGTTCCCTCTTTTCTCCTCAATTCTTTGTCTGACTGGCTTCTTTCTGCTCTTAGCGCTAAGAATTACTTCCTTAGAAACACCTTTTAAAATCACTCACCACTCCACTTCCATTCATTTCCAGCCCTTTACTCGGCTTTCATTTTAGCACTTAGTACCTAACATTATATATATCTGACTCCTCCACTAGAATGTAGTGTCCACAAGCAGGGATATTTTTCTACCACAACTGCTTAAAACAGTGCCTGGCACATTAAGAAGCACTCAGATTTTGATTATTCAATCACTGGTGGTGGTGCCACTGGGGGCAGGGGATACACTCTCATGTGTGTGTAAGCATCTATATATGCTTCAGATTTGCATAAATCTGGATGTAGAGAATCCACAGCAGCTTTCAATAAGTTGAAAACTGTGAAATGTGACAGGGGTTCCAAATCATTTCTGTACATTAGAATGAAGATCTTTTAAAAATTCTAATGCTTAAGCCACATTCCAAATGAATTCCATCACGATTGCTGAGGGTAGGGAACAGGTATCAGTATTTGTTGAAACTCCCAGATAATTCCAACATGAGGTAAGTCTGAGAACCACTGGTATATGAGTTAGTAACCATGATATGAGATGGTGTATAAGATCCAGAATATTCAACAGAAGAAATTCCAATCATAATGCTATGCATGTTTAAGACTTCTATTTCCAAGATGGCACAGAGAACAAAATAAAAATTCATAAAATTAAAACTGTTTCAGATATTAGGTCTTCAAGAGAGCACAACTTCCAGGATTTTCCAGGTTCATTTTCCTGTCATGTCTAATCCAAACTTGGGCATTTCTATTAGGAAGTTTATTCTGTTCTCCCATCTGCCAAGGCAGATTTACGCATGAAAAAGTGGTGACTTCTATGTAAGTCACATCTGAAGGCTTTGGGGGTTTTGTTCCTACTGATATTTGTAATGGCGTCAAGTAAAAAGCTCCATTGTGGTAACAAAGTTGTAATCACAGAAACATAATGCCATGTTCTCAAGAGAGAGAAACGATTTCCTTACAACTCAACTAAGCGATTACGATGAGAAAGGAGTCCCTGAATTCTTGATCATGCGGTCCAACATTTCTCACTCAAAAGGCAATAGAACCAAACAGTCATGAATCAAAATATCCATGGCGCAGAAGCTAACAAAGATTGCGCATTTACCCATCTCCAAACTCACCTTTAAACTATCTTTACACCTCAGAATGAAGGACAAAATTAATGAAAGAGAAGTCATGTCATTATTAAAATCCTCACTACAGTGCAAATGCTAGACATTTCTGAGGAATCTTGGAGATATTTAAGCCAACTCATTTAACAGGTCAATGACCTGACACAGGATAAGGTGAAATGACTGGCCTCAAAGTCACACAGGAGAGCTAGAAGAGAAAAAAGCATTTTTTTTTTTTCCTCAAAACAAGCATACAGGATTTTTCATGTTAATCAAAAAGAAATCAAGATCGTCAGATCAGGAAGAGATGAGGAATACAACATTATGTTATACACAGATTTAGAGAACTACTCAATCTGCCACCCCCCAAAACCAAAAACTTCTCTAAACATATGGACATATATCCATCAAGCAGCTTACCCTTAAAATATCAGAATCTTGGAAAAATTCCATTTACAAATACATTATTAATTGCATTGCTATAATGAAATGAGTTCATTAAATGTGAAAACATCAAACAGCACCAATACCAGAAGGTAAGAAAGTAAATACGCTATTATTTAAAATAATGTATAGTCACTGATTGGGACAGAAATAAACTATAACCACTAGCAAAATCATTTAAAACAACTCTCTGACATAAAGGCAATCAATATGTGAAGACCACTATATGCCCTTTTCCACTGATAGCCTGTGGCTAAGCATCGTGGCAGCGGGTCACATGGAAAATATTATTAATTAAGATGCATTTTTAAATTGTTCAACTTTGAACTGTGATACTACATAACCCAAAGTTTGCCAATGTAAGCCAATGGCTGCATTTTTGGTATCCTAACTACTCTACTCTTACCTGTCCCAATTAAAACAAAACACACAACTCCCTTATTAAGCACTAGATTAAATATATCTACAAAGTAGCAGCAAGGCATTTACAAATGGGCTACTGACCGTGTATCAAAATGCTACTAAGGAAAAGACAGCAGCAAGTACTCTCGTAAGAGCGCATTATTCCACACGGAATCCCAAATTACTCTTACTTCCAGTTCCTTAAAGTCCTGGAACACTAGAGAGGAACAAGCTATATATAAACAGGGCTAGGGAAAAAGAAGCTCAAACGGCATAGTATTTGTATTTCAAAGTACCCAAGATCATTTGACGCTTACAGAGAAATCCTACTGTATCTAAAAATTTTTGAAGCATGTAGAACCAAAATGCTAGTGAAACTTTTGTGTTTACCCAAAAAATAGCACTGCAGTTTTAAGTGAAAATGAAATAGGCATGGTTTGTGAATTTTTGATAATGTTTACACCACCCTCTTCTTCCTGTTCCCTGCTCCTTTCATCAGGTGATCCAAAGACTACCTGGTTTAAAATATTTGGTAATTCAGTGCAGAAAATTAAGGTCACAGACAAAGTACAACAACTTTTAATACACCATTAATACTAATGATCAAAAATTATTGCATAGTCTTATGCGTTTACCCTAAAACATTTTCTCAAAGTAAACGAATTATAGAAAAGACAAATAATCCTAAGGTGGATGGCCTTTACTACCTCGATCTTCTATCCTTTTTTGTCTTTTCAGTACTTTTGTCCATCGTTTTCTCATTATCTCCCCTGCACTTTGGGCAATACCATTTCCCCTTTGGTTTATAGGTAAGTGAAACACATGAAAAGTGAAACCATTCAATTGGACACTGTTCGTTGTCACATCCTATCATCTCCCCATAAGACACTTGGTTGCATAAGCAGTATGTAGGTTCATTAGGATCTATGGCAAACTCAACGGGTGAAGCTTCCCTTTCCTGCTTGGCCTTGGAGCGTTTCTTTTTCTTTGCTGATTTGGATTTCTTTTCTTTAGGTGGCTGATCATCACAGTCTTCAATCCCGTTTGTCATGTGACATAAATCACGGCTTTCACTGGTCCGCTGCCTGCGGGGTCTTCTTGAAGATCTTTCTGGTTGGCTGGAATCCACCTTTGCTTTATCTGAGGCTCTTTCACTTTCAGCAGGATCTTGGAAACACTGTGAATGTAACTCCATTTGTCTTGCCCGATTTTCCACCAGTTCGAGCATTTGTGTAACAATCTGGATTTTTTCATCTCCCAATTCTTGACTATTAATGAGTGCTCTCTGGAGAAGCTGCTGCAGGCGTTTTTTCTGGTTTAAATCATCTTCTTTCTTATATTTTTCATAGACATCATCAATTTCCTTTAACGTTTCTAAAAAAGGAAAAGAAAAATGAGAATGTTATCATGGGTTAGCATACATAACATTTACAAGTTAGTTATTTTTTACAGAATTGAAGTTAGAACTCACACCATGAAACCACACTCCTCTGGTATGTATACAATAAAAACTACTTCCCATACAAAGACCACATTATCTAATATGAAAGTATACTTAGAAATAACATAATAAAAAGAAAGAGCACAAAACTAATACTCATTAATCTATATTAAAAGGATAAGAGATGTGTGGCTAATTAACGATCAAAAGTATTTCTCATGGGCAGGAACACTGTATGCCTGCCACTTGAGTTTACTTAGTGCTGTAACACCTTCAAGACAACCCTATACATAAAATTTGCAGGCTGGAGTCCAGCTCTAAAACTTGAAAAGGTTATCGGACTAGGCTACAGATTACTGCCCAACTGTGTTTACAGGATTTACAGTCCAATCAATGACTTGTGACATGACTCCAGAGATACTGTAGCTTCACTTCCACATCAAACAGTCTTAACAAAGCGGGCATAAGCAACTCTTAGCCTCCCATCATAATGGCTCTAGTTTAGCCTCATATGGGAAATTCAGAAAATGAAACTATTTCCAGAGTAAAACTATTTCCAGAGTAGGTTCTGGTTCTGACATCAACTGACCAAACCATTAACAAAATTACAGTAAAGTCAGCACTGGATCATTCTGCCTTTGTAGATAAATCATAGTTGATTCTAAGCTTCTGAACTGCTGATTTAGTCACACGGCACATGGAACACACTTACTTAAATCAAATAAAAATAGCTGAGTCACTAGAAGGTATCAAAAAATCTGAAAATACAATTTCAGATGTCACCAAAAATTTACTTAAGATTAGTTTTGTTCAAATCTGTTTAATTTCTTATTCTTACAAGATGTAATGCTATCTGAAAGAGTTCTGTCTGCTTGGTATTTTTCATACCACATGGCATATCAGTTTTATATTCCAGTATTATAATTACTAAAAATAGAAATGTTAGAGGAGTAAATATATACATTGGGGCTGTCTCCAAGTAAGGCACACGAAGCAAATATCGAACACAACTCATTAATTAAAGTACTCATACTTGAGGTACAACTGTCTAACCTGGAATACATAACGAAGTGCCACCACACGGTTGAGAGTACTTATACCTGCATAGCGTATTTTTGAACAAAGTTTGTATCTATTCCATTTGCTTAGCTAGGCATCTAAGCAGATTTCTTAAGCACCTAATTTCCCTACAAGAAAAATAAGGAAACTGGTTCCCTCAGACACACCAAAAAAACTGAGGATTAAAAATGAAGAGGTAAACCTCATTTCAAATATTCTGTACCTAATAATCAGGTGTTAGAGGCTAATTATAGTATACATCATACCAGTACACTAATACTACACATGAGATTAAAAAATTTTTAAGACAACTTATTATATACTGAAATAAGACAAGAAATTAACATTTACTCAGCGCTTTCTATGCGGTAAAGACTTTCTCAGTTAATCCCCACAGCAACTCCACCAGGAAGCCATCACTTCTGCATGTGAAAAAACTGCAACTGAGAGGTAGGAACCCTAGACTTTGAACTGTGCCAGATCTGTACGTCTGACCCTGCAGTGTAAGCACTTTTCTATCAATTATATGAAAAGCACTTGAAATTAAGTATCAAATTTTAGTTTGAAGGTTATTTACCTAAGAAACTAGATAATTTTGTTCTTTTTGTTCTAGAACAAAAAGGTTCTCTAATAACCCTATCTCATAATAAGTACTTCAATTGTTAAATTATTTTCTTCATTTATCTTCTTCATAGATTTTTCAGCAGTTCTTAAAGTATCTCAAGTAGATGGAAGAGAAATTTCTTTGACTGCCTATATAATTTATATCACTAAATATTGCTAGAAATATTAGATCCAAAACCAAAAAATACTTACTAGCTAGTGAAAAACTTTTAAAAACATGAAATCTGAACCCAGAACACAAAATATATATAAACATAACACTGTGAAAGTGGAGCTCAGTAACCACGTGCAGAGTCAAAACTGGATGAGTTTTTATTATTAATCATTAAATTAATCACAATCTTCATAAAGCTAATAATTTTTTTTTGCTTTTTAATAAAATGAGCAGAATTCCATCATAAAAGCTCTTTGTTACATGAATTCAAATACACAGCAGACTAATCATGTTCCCTGAAATTTAACACTCATACTTAATAAAGGCCTGTTAGTGCTGTCCCTCAAGACTCCAATTCTAAAGGGCTTCCTCTGCATTCCCTTTACAAAGCTTTGTGCAAAGAAGAGCTTAAGCACCAGTAAGAAAGACTGTTGCTAGCATTTTAATTTCATCATCATCAGAGCTAAGAATTTTTATAATGTCTCGATCTTGTAAGGCATACTCTATTATTGTTACCAGAGCTATTAATACAGGACAATTGAAGATGATCCGGAAGCAGATTTCCCTGGCAACAAATTATAGTATCCCTCACCAACTTCAAATAGCTTAACTCTCGTGAAAGGAAACATGTGCCTTCAAAGAATGCAAAAACCTGCAAGCTTTACAAACTTAAGAGTTATCTGAAAAACTAGAAAGGTTCAATATACAATTATTAAGCATATATCACGTTTAGGTTACCATTCATGTATGCACTCCATACCTCTAGAAATCCCCCTGGGCAGTTCTTATTTTTTAAAGTTTAAATTGTTTGAAAACAAGGATGTGCATCTAAAGTAGCACGCTTTGGAGCCATATAGTCCATCTAATCAACTGGACGAGTTACTTAAACTCTCTGTAAATTTTATCTGTAAAAGAAATACTTATATAATGGTCTGTACCTGGCGTATCAGTATTAATTCCCTTCCCCGCCCCCCGCAACACAGGATTCAGTCCTTACGAATCCTATGGATTCAGAAAACAGAGATACATTTATCAACTAAAAAAATCAGAGACACTTAAATTTCTTACATGCTACAGGTCAGAAAATGTCACCCACGAAGCTGATTCCTTAGAGACTTTTAAACTACAGGATTACTGACGTGTCTACAAAAATAGAGAACGGGTTCAGGAAGTTCTCTTTAAAGTCCATATGGCTGCTTCCATATTATGTTCAAGGTCTGTTCCTCGACTCAGGGTTATTAAGCGCAACACATTTCCCCTTTTAAACTGCCCTTCTAGTGGCACAACCGATAGTAGACGGTAAGACTGTAAGGAAGGTCGATTCTGTCCCGGCTGCCAGGGTCGGCCCGCAAAGGGTGGTTTCGCCTCATCACTGAAGTCGGAGGAGGAGGGGCTCGGGGGATCGGGGGCTCGGGGACGCCAGGCGGTTGCCCAGTCAACCAACCCACATCCTCCACAGGCCCGGAAGTGACACATGTCCCGGAACTTACGCGGAGCCAGGATCCGCGACCGTCCGAGCGGCTGATCCCCCATCCTGACTCACTGGTTGGGAGAGAGTGGAAACACCGCCGCAAACATGCTGCAAACCCCGACTCGGACTCTGCTGGGGCCGAACCAACGCCCCGCACCGCCCCGATTCCCTCCTCAGCAGCCGGCACTCCACTGCCCTGCTCGCCACCAGCCAAGTTCCAGGCCCGCGAGAACCCGCGCCGCGCCCCGCCCACGCCCCACGTCACGCCCGCAGGCCCCGCCCCCGGCGCGGGCCCTCCCCGCCACACACGCCCCTCTCTTCCTCCCCGGCAGGGGACCCCTCCCCTCTTAACCATTGGTCGAAGGAGCTGGGCCGGGGCTGCGGCGCGAGGCGTCCGGGAACTTTCCCGGGGCGGGAGAGCGGAACGGACTGCGCTCCTGTGCTCCTCCGGGCCGGGGCTGGGGCGCCGAGGGAGGCCCCCTCAGTCCGCCTCCGCGGCCTCTCGCCCCCTCCCCCCGCACGTTCCAATGCACCCGCTCCCCGGGGTGGGGGCGAGTCGGGTGGGGAAGCGCGCCCGGCAGACCAGCGGGAGCCTGGCCGCTCACACCCTCCGGCCCCTGCCCGGCTGCACAGTCCCGGGCCGGGGCGGCAAGGTCTGCGGCACGGGGCGGGCGGGCGAGCGCCAGAACAAATGCTTGCTGCTTAAAATGGCTGATTCCCGTCCGCGGCAGCTGCAGCCGCTGGGTCTGCAGCGGGGGCTGACGAGCGGCCCCCACCCCCAATCCGGGGACCCCAGAGAAGTCCTCGCCCACCGCGGGGCAGGGGAGGGCCCGAACCCGGTCTCCAGTCCTCCCCGTCCCGCTCAGCAGACCCTCGGTGCGCTCGAGGAGACTGTCACGGGAGAAAGGGAGGTGGCACTCCCCGGGGCAGGCTCCCGCCACCGGCCCCGAGGCCCCTACCTTGATATTTGTTGTCCAGCTCTCGCAGCACAGACACGTTCCTCTGCATGTCGTGGGGCAGCGACTCCACGCACTCCAGGTAGTCCTGCACGTAGCAGGTGAGCAGGCGGCTCCGCTCCCCGGTCAGGAGGGCGGCCGACGAGTACAGCTGCTGCTGCTGCCCCAACATCCTGCCGCTCAGCGCCGCCGCCGCCGCCTCCGCATCCAGCAGCCGTACGTGCACCGGCCGCGGCCGCCGCGGGCCCTTCGCTCCGCAGCCCGGCGCCGCGGGGACCCCGCCGCCGCTCGAGAGGGCACGGCCGCGCTCCCCGACCTCCACTCCCCTCCAAAGCAGCCCTCACTCCCCGCCCCCGCGGCACCAGCCCAGGGGCGGGGCGAAACTCCGGGATCGGAGCAGCCGGGATCCCCTCGGCGGGGCCGGCGCCGGAGTCCCGGGCGCTGACACTTCCTGTCCCTCTCGGAGTCCCCAGATGCTACCAGTGCCGTCTCGCAGCCCGGATCCCCATGACAAGCCCGTCGCCGCCCGCCGGTCCCCAGGCACCCTCCGTGCCTGACGGGGAGCCTCCTGCTGGCCTGCCTCCGCCCCTCCGCCCGCGGCTGCCTCTGCGCCTGCGCACGGCTCGCTCCAAATAAGGCGGGGGCCCGCCCCTACCGCCTACCGAAGGGTTCGCATTCTCCCGCCTTCGCTCCGCCGCCCGGGCGATTGGTCTGCCGGCTCAGGGCTGGCGGGGAGGGCGCGAGGGGACGGCCAAACGGCAGGCCGCGCCCCGCCTCCCTTAAAGGGGAAGCCCGGGGAGCCCGCCTCTGCGCCCCAAGTGTGAATGGGACCCGGCAGGGGAGGTGGCTCGGTCCTTCTGGCCGTCCTCCCCGCAGGGAGGGGCAGCTCCTCCGGGCTCGCTCCGCCGGGCCTCACGGGCGTTTTCCCCATCCGGCGGTCCGAGCGCCGCTCCTCGCGAGCCTGCAAAGGAGCAGCCAGCGGCCCCTGTTCGGAAGACCCGGAGCGAGGCCTGCGGGACTGCGCGCCCCGGCGGGCGGCTCCCGGCATGCGCGGCGGCTGCGTTCCCGCCGCCTCTGGGCTCGCCTGGGGCTGCCGCCCGCCCCCGCGGAGCTGATCGGGGAGGTGGACGGGGCTCCCTCCGGCCCGGCGTCGTGTGCCCTGCGGGTTTCCTGGCCCCTGCGCTGCGCAGAAATCTACTGTGTCATTTAGCGGGAAGAGCTGCGGGACGGCCTCTGCCTGCCAACGCGTGGGTCCTTAAAAACAACTGCGTTTGGGGGGGTGTCAGAACACTTAAGCATTGGACGTCGGCGAGGCTTCCGGGGGCGCACGCCAGCTTGACGGGAGTTTTTGCTCAATCCTGTCCCGGGACTACAACCGGAGGGGACCGGGGGCGTCGAAACACCAGTGAAAACCTCGCCAGCGGGCGGGCCCTCGGCCCCACGATCTGCGTGGTCTCCTAGGGGGGTTTCATTTCGGTGTAAACGAGATGCCCGGCGGAGGAGCTGATTTTAGTTACAGATAGACTTTTTTGGAAGAAATGGGTGTCAATAGAACGAATGCCTGGAGAATTGTAATGGAATGCCTATGTAAACAAGCCCTGTAGTGAGTACTACCTTGGAGTTAAAAAGAAAATGTGAGTGAGTGGCGACAAATTTGGATTTTAGATCCGGTTAGCAGCGTTGGTACACGGGAATGATGACCTATTTAGAGCACTTTTGAAACAGCTGGTAATAGTAAGTCAAACAGCCTTTGACTGGCAAGAGAAATCTAGCTCTTTATCGAGAGGAAATTTTGTATTTCAAACAGAAATAAAGCACTCCAGGCAATTTGACGTCTTGGGACGTCAACTATGGCAAAGGACTGGGAAGTTGTCTTGGGTTATTATCCTGGGACACTGAGGTTTGGGCCAGTATTAAGTCAACCCAGACAGTACAATGTATTATATATCTGAGAACGTTTAGGGATTTTATAGTTCTTTAACCCTTTCGGCCGGGTCTCGTCAAAAAACGGCCTCTGTGAAGAACTGAATTGTACTGGTTTTTACTTGAACCCTACTATTTTTGTTTTGTCACAAATTTGAATAAGCTGGTGTTTATCAAAGGCCCAAAATAATGCATGGTGCCTTGTTACAGGTCAAACACCGAAAGCACCTATGGATTTTATTCAGCGTGATAAGTAATCTGCAGGTAGCTCTGTGTTTAGAAACTAGAAGGGAGAGCCAGGCGCCGGTGGCTCACATCTGTAATCCCAGGGTGATTTGAAAGGCCCGAGGCGGGCGTATCACAAGGTCAGGAGTTCGAGACCAGCCTGGCCAAAATGGTGAAACCGCGTCTCTACTAAAAATACAAAAATTAGCTGGGTGTGGTGGCGTGTTCCTGTAATCCCAGCTACCTGGGAGGCTGAGGCAGGAGAATCGCTTGAACCCGGGAGGCAGAGGTTGCAGTGAGCGAGATCATGCCATTGCACTCCAGCCTGGGCGAGAAGGGAGACTACATCTCCAAAAAAGAAAGTAAGAAACTAGAAGGGGAAAACAAAGATGCAGAATACCTAGAGCACTTCCTCTAGAAACAGAGCAAGATGAGAAGAGGGATGAGCATGGGATAGAAGGCATTTTATGGCATTATTTTCACCTTTTATAATTCTGTTGAACAGGCTGGAAAAAAGCAAAAATATCCAAAGAATATTTTAGCTGATACTGATCTAAAACTATAAAACATTGTAACATGATAACATATGTATATGTATGAATTATTTCAGGCATGCTTTTCTTGCTGTGTTTATTTTAAAAGGTTAATCTAAGGCTTATTCTTGCCACCCTGTGAAAGTAGCCTGTGTGGGGAAGAGCACTTCAGTGGAAAAAAAGTTAAAAATCACCACAATCCCTAAACCCAACTCTTGACCTTGGCTATTCAGCGCTGTCCTTCCCTTCTGAGTGGTCACTTAACTGGAAATATGGGGCCTCTTCAGACTGAATTTCTTGTCTTCTAAATGCAAAATTTTAAATCTCCCATTCTTAGCAACTCGAGTTAATTTTTGATATTTAATCCTGTGAGTAAAGCAAAAGGAATTTTATTTGCTCTGCAGTGTATGATCTACCATAAAGCAACCCTGAGAAAAAGATGAGTAACTGATCTCCCCAAATTAGTCTGAAATTACCTTGAATTTCTAAGTCGGTGACTTGAAGAGGTCCCTGGCAGGAAACGTGTCTGCCTCCATACCTGTGTCTTGGGAAGAGCACCAACTTCAAACTGATGGAAAACAAGCTGGTAAGTCAGTGTGAGAGAGTCATAAAGATGGCTGCTGAGAAAACTCAGCTTCTGTTGAGTCAGACCAAACATATTTGAAAGCCTTTTCTTTTTTCTACTTTTTAATATTTTTAAACTTTATTATGGAAATTTTCAGACGAAGGCAAAAGTAAAAGTAATAGTACAATAAATCCTTATATACCATTTACCCAGCTTCGACATTTAGCAACATATGGCTAAGATTATTTAATATATATCCCTTCACACTCCCTCAACCTTCCTGGATTTTTATCATTTTATCTGTAAATACTTTAAATATGAACAGGTAAAAGTAACAGTTTTTTGTTGCTGCTGTTGTTTTTGAGACAGTTTTGCTTTTGTCGCCCAGGCTGGAGTGCAATGGTGCAGTGACCTCGGCTCACTGTAATCTCCACCTCTCAGGTTCAAGTGATTCTCCTGCCTCAGCTTCCCAAGTAGCTGGGATTACAGGTGTGTGCCACCACGCCCAGCTAATTTTTGTATTTTTCACCATGTTGGTCAGGCCAGTGTCAAACTCTTGATCTCCAGTGATCGGCCTGCCTCAGTCTCCCAAACTACAGGGATTACAGGCACGAGCTACCGCACCCAGCCAAAGTAACAGTTTTTTAAACATATCCATAATACCATTTATTCTACCTCCCCAAATTTTCTTACTATCATTTAATACTACACAATTCAGATTTTCTTATTGTCTCGTCAAATCTTTTACATTTGGTTTAACATCCCACGCTTTTTATTTGGTTAACGAGGTCTTTTCCAAACCAGTAAGAAGCAGTTAATTCCCTGTTTAATTCAGCCAAGCAGAGTGCAACGTTTTTCTGAGGAAGAGATTCGAGTAGTTGAAAATCACTGCTTTAAAGATGGACATTCAAGAAGAAATCTTCATATGAAAAGGTCACCAGTTGATAGCATGTTGTAAGAAATGTAATTGTACCTGATGCAAATAAATAAATCCTTACTAATTGTCAGGTCTCTATATGCAAGCCTGGAGCCTGAAAGTCTGAAGTCCTGCTTGTCTCGAGCTGAAGTCTCCCACCCCCTGCCTGCGTTGGCCATTGTCCTAATCGCCCACCAGAGCTTCCCACAAGCCCCTCACCCAACCCTGCCACCTTAACTGTTCTTATGAGAATGTAGATACCTCTGACCCAACCCTGCCATCGTAACTGAACTTGTATGCTCCTTGCTCCTACCCCCCCACCCGCCACTATAACTGAACTTACTCTGCAACACCCCCGTCCCGCCAAAAAACTACCTAAACCTATAAAACCAACTCCTATCCCACTGCCCTTTGCCAATGCCCTTTTCGGCCTTAGCCCACCTGCACCCAGGTGAACAAACAGCCCTGTTGCTCACACAAAGCCTGTTGGGAAGGTCTCGTCATTCAAAGCCCACTTTTTTTTTTTTCAACATTTGGTGCTGAAACCCGGGACGGGGGAACTTCTAAGGGAGACCAAGCCCCTGTTCCCGTTCTTGTGCTCCCTCTATGAAGAGATATACCTACCGACCTGGGGTCATGAGACCGGCCCACAGACGCACACCGCTGGCTGTTTTGGTAAGCAGTCTCTTCTTTGCTTTCCCATGTCTTTGCCACTTCCTCCCCGTTTCTGTTTCATCCTTTTTCCACCACAAAGACCAGGAAATTCAGGCAAACCAGGTTCTTCTGTGAGGTTCATGACCGGAAAATCCTACGTAGGTCACAGATCCGAGGACCCAGTTTCCCCAGGGATTTGACTATCGTGGAGACCTTCACCCTAGTCACTCGCCCACCAACCTCATGGCCGATATTGGTGGCAGGTCAACAGAGAGGATGCTCTTTGACCGCCCACCCACAACGAGCTTCAACCCACGCTCAACAAGGGACGCCTTTTGAGCAGCTGGGTTGTGTGCCCATTTTCCGTGTCTCTGCTGTCTTTGCAGAACTGTGGGCGATCGTCCGTCCTCTCTCCCTCCCTCCTCTCCGCTGGCCTGTGTTCTAAAAAACCTCAAGCCTCTTCAACCGTCTCCTGACCTAAAACCCGAACGTCTCATCTTCTTCTGTAACACTGCATGGCTACAATACAAGTCAAACAACAGCTCCAATTGGCCAAAAAATGGCACTGTCAACCTCTCTATTTTACAAAATTTAGACAATTTTTGTACACAACATGGGCAAATGGTCTGAAATTCGCTACGTCCAGGCTTTTTTTACACACCAATCCCTCCCTGATCTCTACTGCCAGCTTACAGTTTAGTCCCTCGGCTACCTCCTATGCCCCTCCCCAACGATTCCCCGTTCCGGAGGCGGCTGCAGCCAAAGGCATAGTTAGGGCGCACATTCCTTTTCCTTTCTCCAACCTTTCCAAATTGGCCACCGGTTAGGCTCCTTTTCATCAAAGCCTCCAATACTTAACCCAGTCCTGTAATCTCACCTGGAGTGACTTAAATGTCACCCTTACTTCTACTCTTACCCTAAAAAACGCTTAATATGCATTTTATCACCCAATCAGCCTGACATTACGAAAAGGTGCAGAAATTAAAATCTGGCCCTCAAACCCCTCTGCAGGAATTAAGCAACCTCACCTTCAAGGTATTCAATAATAGGGAAAAATCTGCCTGGCGACAGCGCATCTCAGAACTACAAATGCTTGCCTCTTCTGTAAGACAAAGCCCAGCCACACACTGGCTCACAAAGACTTCAAAGAGCCCAGACTGCAGTGCATCCAGCCACCCCTCCTGGACCTTGCTTCAAGTGTTGGAAACCTGGCCACTGGACCA